ATTATTTCTGCCAATTATATTTCATTTCCTTCAAATTTTCACATTCTCAATTATATTTCTTTGTTTATTCTTTCCTTAATTATTCTTTTGTCGACATTCTTCTTCCGCCCTGATTAACTTCATTTATTTTCAATTTCGTTTTTCCTAAATTGCTGTCATTCTTCTTTTTTACTTCTTCTTGCTTTTATTATTATTATTATTATTATTATTCATCATTCGATTTCTGCTATGGATTATTACCTACCAAGTCTGCTGATAGCATCTGTCTCATTTCCTTTTTTTTTTTTTTTTTTTTCTTTGCTATTTTCTTCATTTGTCCTTTCCAATTTTTATTCAGCTCTTTCTTCTTTCTTCTTTTTTCCATTTTTTATAATTCTTCCTCTTCCACTGGTCTTCTTCTTCTTTTCTTCTTTCCAGGTCTTTGTCCTTGATAGTTTTCAAATTCCTTGGTTTGCTATTTGCCCGCCTCCTCCTTTAGTAAAGCTTTTTTCTTTCTGGTTTTTTCACAATCTTCTTGATGTCTCCCCTTAGAATGGTATCTTCTATTTCTGTAACCTTTTTCATACCAGTGTTTGCTTACCTTTTTTCAAAGTGTTGTTGTTCTATTTCTATCGTGAATTTTTTTTCCATATTCTTTGGGGCAAGTCGGCTTTGTTTCTTTATTTTTTTTTTGGATCCACATTTTTCTCCTGTCGCTGCAAGTAAATTTCAGTTTCATTTGTCTCTTATTCTTCTTCAGATTTTGGGTTTATTTGCTTCTGGATTTTGTCCTCCTCCTCCTTTCTTTTTCTTCTTCTTCTTCCTTGGCTGTTTTTTGTTTACTACAGAATCTACTAAATGTAAATGTTGTTTTTGTTCTGCCTTCTTTCCTTTTTTTTTCTTTCTGTTTTCATGTTGTTTCCCATTTTGTTGTTTCCATGTAAGTTAGTAACTCCTTGTTGTCTTGTATGACAATTCCAAACCTCTTCCACTACTACCACCACCACCTTATACCTCCACCATTTTTGATCTTCTCCAGTTCAAGATCCTTTGGACATTCTTTTAGGCACAATTCTGTTCTGAAATTCAATTCTGAATCCAACTTCTAGGCCCATTTTCTTTCAGATGGTGCCTTCATTCGTTGACAGCTATCTCTCCTTGTTCTAAATCTTTTTATTGTTGTAGTAAACGAAAAGAGGATCCTCGTAAAACTGCCTTCAAGTTTTTTCATTTTCTTCACTATTCTGTTTTTCCACTTTATTTTCAATTTTAACTTTTATTTTTATTCTCACTTCTGTCTTATTAAGTTGGCTGGTTAATGCTATAAGTCCAAAGGAGAGCCGATGCCTCTATTCTCCACTTATCATTTTTAATTGATTGTCTTTTCCATCGACTGACGATTGAAAAACAGACATTTTATTCAGAGGAATGTGTTTCGATTTTTCTCTAACCCAATACTTTTTTTTTCCACGGAAAAGTGGGCCTTTTGCACCCTTTTTGTTCAAGAGCCATTTCTTTCTGCATATGCTGATAACGATTCATAAATGTATTTTTTGGGTAGAAAAGTGGCTATCCATGCATCTATTTCTATTTGGCTTTTTTGTGCTGTATTAAAATTTTATCTATTCCTGGAATTTCAGTATTGCTATATCTATATTTTTGTGTGCTATCTATCTATCTATCTATTTATTTGTTTATACAAATCTATGTCTGTTCTGGTTTATTTTCATGTATGTATGTATGTATTTATGTATGTGTCTATCTATCTATCTCATTCATTCTTTGATGTTCCCTGTATAATCGGTTTGAAAAGATCTTGTATATAGAATTTGTCTTTTCTCGTAACGTCTTATTCTTTTGAGCCTCTATCTTTGGTCTATTTTCATTCCTGATCTATCTTTCGACTCTTCTGCCTTTTCTATTCTATTTGTTCTAGTTCATCAAATGATAATTCACTTCTAAGGTGTTCAATTTCTTTTTTATTTTTTTCTTTTCTATCTTCATGTCTATCCTTTTTTTTTATCTTTATTTGTTTGCTATTGCTATGCATATATTGCTATTGAGATATCTATGTTCATCCATCAATTTAGTGCTGCATTATAGAGCTATATTTTGGATTTTTTGGGAGTTGTTCATATTGCAATATCTATCTCAATTTGTTTATACAAATTGTTTTGTATGTATGTATTTTATCGTTTATGCTATCTATTTCTTTCTAAATTATTCTTCATAATACCTGAGGCTTGTGTGATGTTATTACTTCTTCCTTTTCATGTTTTGTTGGTTCATCTATTCTTGTTGCAATTCTTTTATTTCATTAATTTCAGCCTCTGTCAATCGGTTTATTTCATGATGTCCCTTCTTACATTAGCTATTTATTTTTGTCTATCTTTGCCATATCTCTATTATTTTGAGTAACCTTCATGGAATGCTCTCTCTCTCTCTCTTATATATATATATATATATATATATATATATAAATATTATGGAGATTTACAGGACCATGTATTATCCTGGTTGTATACCTGAATATGAAGGTACTCATTTTATTTTTCTATTTTTAATACAATCCCACGAGTTCGCACGGGTCCAAAAGTCCACAAAGTTGCCCGGCACCCGGTCTTTTACAGAGATTCACTCCTCGTTGAGTTGCGGGTTTGTTGTTCGGAGTTTTCCTTCTCCTAAATGGGTTGCCAAGCAACAATAGACAGAGACACGATTGCATTAAAAAAAAAAAAAAAAAAAAAAAAGTTTGTTAGATATAAAAATAATTTATTGGCCCATCTGTAAATTCCACGAAAAACATAAAATGCGTGTCAATTTAAATTCCGTTATTTTTTTCAAAATGTAAAAAAAAAAAAAAAAAAAAAAAAAAAAAAAAAAAAACTATTCGTTTGTAATTTAAAAATAATTTATTGCCCATCTGTAAATTCCACGAATTCCTTCTTAAAAAGACTTTTTCTTTTCATAAATAAAATGTAATAATAAATGTAAATCGAATAAAGTTTGTTGAAAATAGAAAAAAAAAAAAAAATGCAATCTAGTTATATTTTTTTTTTAAATTTTTTTTAAAAAACAGTATGTGAATGGAAAAAAATTTGCTATCAGTAAAAAGGAAACCAAATTTAAAAAATTCAAAGTTCATGCTTACGCTAAAATAGTAAAAAAAACAAAATTTCATGTGCGTTAAAAAAAAACTTGAAAAACATTTTACACTAGAGAGTATTTATTTAAATTTTTTTTTTTTTTTTTTTTTTTCGCCAAAACACGAGACTTCGTTTATCTTTATTGAAATTTAAGATTATTGGCATCTGAGATTTTTCAAAGAAAAATAGCGCTATTTTAAAAAAAAAAAAACGCAATCCTTCGAATAGTTTGTATTGTTTTTACCTGTCATGTTTTTGTTTTTGGGGATATTGAAAACTGAGGGATATATGAATAAGAAAAATAAATAATTGATTAATCTATCAGTATCATTTAAAGGAGAAACAAATAAATTAAATAATAATAATACGAAGGAAAATTCTGTTTACGTTAAAATAGTAAAAATAACAAAATTTCATATGCGTAAAAAAAAAAAATTTACGTTTGGAAGGCTTCTTATAACACGTCATTCTCACATTGTTTATCCCAAATTATTAACATTGATTAAATCATTATTCCTGATAGCATCTGTCTCATTTCCTTAATCTGTCTTATTTTCTTCTATTTCTTCTTCATTTGTCCTTTCCTATTTTTATTCAGCTCTTCTTCTTCTTCTTCTTCTTCTTCTTCTTCTTCTTCTTCTTCTTCTCCTCCTCCTCTTCCTCCTACTCCTCCTCCTTCTTCTTCTTCTTCTTCTTGATTCCCATTGCCTCTATCTCTAGCAACCTTTTGCTCACCTATTGTTGTTGTTCTACTTCTCTAATAATATCTAAGTCGGCTTTCTTTCTTTTTTTTCTCTTTTTTTCTCCTGTCGCTAGTAAATTTTCATTTGTCTCTTATTCTTCTTCAGATTTTCTTCTTCTTTTTGTCCTCCTCCTCCTCCTTCTTCTTCTTCTTCTTCCGTCCACACCCAATTCGCAGACATTCCTTTTGTCCCTCCGTTTTTCCAACTCCTTCTCCATCTCCCAAACTACTACTACCACCACCACCACCTCCACCATTTTTGATCTTCTCATATCATTCATTCTTTTCCACACTAAATTAATTGATTTTGTCAATCTCACTTATGGAAAGTAACGAAAAGAGGACAATGCCTTCAAGTTTTTATTTTTCTCTATTCTGTTTTTTTATTTTTCAATTTTATTTCCTCAGAAAAATTTCGAGCCGATGCCCTTCTCCATTTATCATTTAAAAACGAAAAAAACAGACATTTTAAGATTTTCATTTTTCGTTGAAATTGGGCTTTTAAATGGAAACGATTCATTTTAAAGTAAAAATAAATCTATCTTTCTAAAATTATCTATCTTTACATTTTTGAAAAAAAATATTTCTATGTATGTAAATCTTATGTATGTATTTATTTTCTATCTAAACATCGTTCAAAAAACCTAATGGATTTTTCATATCTAATCTATCTATCTATCTAATATCTATCTATTTGTTCATTTAAATTATAAATCTATCTATTTATCTATTATCTAATATTAATATGGATCTTCAAAATATATATCTCAATTTGATATACAAATATATTTTGTAAATAATCTATAAATATCTATAAGAACAATCGGATTTTATATCTTCTGTATATATATATATATATAATCTTTTTATTTATATACATTGTATATACATATATATGAATATTGTTTATTTGGGTAGTCAACCTTTATTTTTTACTTGAATTTTAAACACTTTTATGAATAACAGAAATAAAGTTTGTGCTTAAAGAAAATTTAAATTATATTAACATTTAAATTTATTAAGTTTTTACTAATTCAAAGTTCAGCCAATATTTAGAAACATTTTGCGGTTACATTTATTTTCTAAAACACGAGACTGGCGGAAACATTATCAGAAATTGAAAATTAGAAGAATCTTAGATTTTCTTGTCAAAAATATATCGGTCATCTTAATTACAATCTGGCTTGTAAATATGTATATATATATATATATATATATATATATATATATATATATATATATATATATATATATATATATATATTATTAATTAATTGATTTAAAATATATTTTTAACAGTAATTAACCCCAAATTTTTATACGTAAAAATGATATAGTTTTTAATAAATGAATTATATATATTAATTGGAATTTAAAAATAAAAATATCAGAATTTTATTTCATTATTTATGTACATAAATACAATCATTTATTTTATCGAAAATTTATTTTTATTTTAATTTTATTTTTTTTTTTATATTATTTTATTTATTTTTTCTAATCCTTGTCTTTTTGTGGTGTTTGAATCTATCCAAATTCATAAAAGCGCCTTATATATATATATATATATATATATATTATTTGGCTATATATAATTCATTATCAATATGGTGTTGTACGTTGTTTTAAATTATAAATTCCATTATCTTATGTCTTTAATGGATAATAGTTATATATAAAATTAATCCTGTTTCACACCCGCCTGGTAAAGTAAATCCTTTTTTAAAATGGCTTGTCTAATGGATTTCAGTACATCAATTGCCTGGACTATCAATTCCATAAATTGCCTGTTGCCATCTTTTTGCCATTTTATCGCAACGCTTCGGCCTTCTTCAGGTGGTTGGAATGTCTAAATGAATCCTTTATTTGGCTCACTAGTGTAGACTGTTCTAGTTCCACGTGTTATAATGGATATCAGTTATCAGTTATCTCCAAGTTCTCGACCGCCTTAACCAGGTATTGAACTCTCAACTGTTTGGGTCCTGTCTCTGGATCTCACTAACGCCTTTATCCACTATGCTTGAGAACATCTGTGTATGAATTTCTGGGTATTATAAACCTAATGTCTTCTGCAAGCATTTTTTACCAGTGCTCATATTGCAATTTTTGCTGTTATCATTGCAAGTTTTTTTTTTTTTTACCAGAGCTCATATTGCAATATACTTTGTTATCATTGCTTTTCTCTGGCACTCCTAATTACTGGTTCCCATATTGTATTTATTTCAATGCTTGTTCGGTTCAGGAGATTTTTGTGGCCTATCCAAAACTTTGTGATAAATATGACAACATAGATGAGGATAATAGTCCGAGCAATGTAAATAGTTTTTGTGGAGACCTAACTACAAATGAACTCTTTGACACCTATATAATATGGCTACCAACTTTGAGTAAAAGGGAAAAAGTTTCAAGGTAAAGTAGTAGCCATAAACATGAGAAAAAGTGAATGAAATGAATGAAAATCAGGACACCAGTGAGAGAAAGTACCCTCCAGTTCACAGAAAAATTTTCAAAGAAAAATTACATGCTGTAAGAATTTTGACGCAAATTTACCGGGGAACATTCAGAAATCAGTGCACCTTCTATATATTTTCATCTTAGTAAATTACTTTACCTTTGTATTACGTTTCCAAGAATATACTATTTAACATTATATCCGAATCCGTGTTATCTTTCTATGGTTCTACACCATAACAATAGTGTACATAATATCTCATCTCAGAAATATGGACAGATACAAAATTTCTGTCGCCCGACGTGTCTAGGCACACAACTCAATCAATCTCATTCATTTTGCCTCCCAACTCTTCTGTTTTGATTTTTCATTGCTGTCATTTTTAAGTATCCCACAATAGAAGATTTCAAAGAAAAATTACATGCTGTAAGAATTTTAACGCAAATTTACCGGGGAACATTCAGAAATCAGTGCACCTTCTATATATTTTCATCTTAGTAAATTACTTTACCTTTTAATTATGGTAAGATGAACGACTAAGACACTTAGCCGTTCATCTGAAGGTTATTTTGTAAAGGATCTGTTTTGTGTTTTCTGATGAACTTTCCTCAACCGTATTGAAACTTGATTAATTTAAGCGCAGTACTAGATTGGTGGCAAGGTCTCATCATTTTATAGCTGAAATAGATAACTGTCAGTTCTATGCTAATAGTTCCTTCTATCATCCCCTTCCTAACTCCCCACGTCTTACTGAACACAATCTCAGTAATATATTTACCGAACGGAAAATCTCAACACTTTTCATAAGCATTAACCCTAAAAAAGGCACTGTCCTGACAAATTTCCAGTGGTTGTCCTAAAGAATATCAATTTAGGATTATACCTGAAGTTATTCAACCGCTGTTTGAAGCAAAAATCCTTCCCAAGTCCGTGGAAAGTATGAAGCGTATGTTCGGTTTTCAAGAACGCAGGCGAGCGCTGTTCCCCGTCTCAGTACAGAGCCATCAGCCGCCTCACTAGCTTTTTGAGGTTATAATCAAAAGCAAGTCGCTGAGCGCCCAGATAAGAACACGCTCTTGAATGACAAGCAGTACTGGTTTCGTGCGGCCCGATCCACTGCTGATGTCCTAATTATTCACAGAATTAGTGAGGCTCTCGACGACAAACACACCTAAAGTACCATAGCAATACATATTCTGAAGGCCTTTGACAAGGTGTGGTACAAAGGTTTGATGCTCAAGCTCTCCGACTATAGAATTTCTCAATTATATAGTCATTCCTAACGGGTAGGTTCTTGGAGTTAATTGTTAAACGCCAGTCGTCCTGCAGGCGTCCCCCGGGTGTAATTTCTCAGACCAACCCTCTTTTTTCCTTATATAAATGTTATGGTCAGGTTTCTTGTACCACGGTGATAGTCCAAGGTAGAACCAATAAAGAAGAACTCCAACACGGGTATGGAATTACACAGATATATTACAAACAGGAATATATACAGAGAAATAGAAGTTTAAGTACGAACAATCAGGTTTAGTAGAGAGAACAATGTAGTCTCGACCAGTATCACTATTCCAATGTCTTGCAGTAATTGTCTGAACGCGACTCTGTTTCGGACTGCCTCTGACTCGACTCTTGACTCGACTTGAACTACTGACGGTATTCAGTCACCCCCCACAAGGGTGTCATGTGGCACAAGGCCTTTTTTTAACGTGGGTTTCCGAGCCCGTGGGCTCGGCTGTAAAATATGCCCATTGAACCCGTATAAACGGGTTCAGGGCCGGTTTACCTCCCGAAAGAGACTCCGCCCTTCGGCGTAGCCTCCTTCGAATTCCTCCCGCCCGTAGGAAGAGAGTTTAACCGAACAGTCGGTTCAGACTTGAACGACTGACAATATTCAGTCTCCCTCCCACTGGGGCAATATGTGACACAAGGTCTGTTATTTACTTTGGGTTTTCCCGAGCCCGTGGGCTCGGCCCCAAAATATGCCCGTTTTAACCCGTATAAACGGGTTCAGGGTCGGTTTTACGGTTCTGACAGTCTCGGACAGGATCCAACATTGCCATCCCTTTATTCTAGCATTCTATTTTATTGGTGAGAAGTAAGTTCCACTCAAACAGCTATTTCCCGCGAAAAACTGCCCTGTGAAACTGACTCCTGAGAGGATGTTTCCCCAATCATTACAATATTAAGACTAGAGTTAACCGTTATCATCCTATTCTATCCGCATAAATTGCCTCTTAGTGTAACCCTCTACATCGAGTAGCTATCGAGCCTTGTAAAGGATGAACTTCACTGTAAAAATGTGCTGTAAAAGAAATGAGTAATCAGGAGGCCAGTAGATAGCGATTGACATTGCATTTAAATCTTTGCAGATTAAAGTCTGCTGGAGCCGGAAGGGAGTTCCCACAAGCGAAAGCAGTGCGAGAAAAGAAACTGTTATGCCATAGCACTTACGGCTTGTTGGGGTATATGTATATAATATTATATATATATATATATTATTAAAAGGCACGAACTCTTAAAATTTCCCGAGGTTTAATATATTTCATTGCAACTCTAATGAAATACATATAACCTCAAGAAATTTTAAAAGTGCGCGCCTTTTAATAATAATTATTGCTCTGTTTCTGACATAGAGCTCTCCCTGGATTTATATCATCTTGGAAATATCATACCGATCACTAATATCGTCATTATATATATATATATATATATATATATATATATGTGTGTGTGTGTGTGTGTGTGTGTGTGTATGTATATCCAGGTAAAATGAGAACAAATTCAGTATAATGACACTGTCAGTAACATTTAATTTAAAAGAGGGTTTAATACATAGAAGACCTAAATACTTATTAACTTATTTATCTTTATATTAAAAAAATAATGTGTTAAAAATCGCTATACATTTTTTTAACACGTTTTTGTTTTAATATCCTAAAATAAAAATATATCCTAAAATAAAAATATTATCATATATATATATATATATGTGTATATATATATATATATATATATAAAAAAATAAGATTTTAAGGTTCCATTTTTTTCGTTTCTTTTTTTTGAAGTGCTATCTGATGATCCGGCGTCCTTTAAAATTGGGTTCTGATGAAATAAATTATTATAATGGAACCTTAAAAACTGGCCTGTTTTTTCCTTTTTCGAATATTAGCTTTTATTTACATTGAACTCTCAAAGATTTCATCCTCCTTGGGATTAACCATATGGATTACCAAGTTTTTCAGAACTTAAATATATATATATATATATATATATATATATATAAATATATATATATGAATTAAACATGTGTTAATATCTCACACCATCGTATTCAGTAACTGTATGTATTTATTAGAAAAACAAATATTATTTTCATCTAATCTTTTATCATGCAATTTTTTCTCTACACTTCACTCTGATATTTTTCAAGTCCTCTCGATTTTTTATTCTACATTTTTTATTTTCTTCGCTCATTTCTCTCTCGCTTTTTTTCTTTTTCTTCTAGCTCTTTTTTTTTACTCACTTTGTCTTTTCATTTTCATTATTTAAAAGTTTTCTCTCTGATTTTTTATTATTATTTCAATTGTCTTCAAATACCTATCTCTCTTCCATCTCTTGGCGCTTTTCCTTTTTCTCCTCTCACTAATTCCCCATTCTTTTCACTTACTCGTCTACTTCTCCGTTTATTTGTTTTTGTAGTAAAGGATAGCGGCTTGGATTGAGATATCGGAGTGCCGAGTTCGAATTCCAACGGCATTTCATCACATTTGTTATTTAATGCCGAAATTTAATTGCTTGAGAGCTTGGAACTAATAAAAATATGATATGTTATTCTGCTTTCACAATTGAATACATGGTAGATGATACTCAGCTTTTGTGCATATACATGTTTTTGCGCACATGACAACTAGAGGCGGTAATATGTGTCGCGGTGTAGTAATTGATAGCGGCTCGGATTGAGGAATCGGAGAGCTGAGTTCGAATTCCAGTCGAATCCATTATATTCACTTACGTGTTAATACCCTTGGGAAAGGTATGAATCCTTTTCTCCTTCCAACGTTGGGTAAATAGCAGGACAGACCGGGTTCTATAACCTTGGATGACAACTATTCTACCACAGAAAGAAATGGCAACCTACTGCTGGAAAAAATCTGCCTCGTCAGTCATGTATCGAAAGATGTATGATCCCCGAAGCGTGTATCATGCATGGCACATAACTAATTGATCGTATAATTTGAAATGTAACCTGAAAAATATCTCCAACATTGACTCGCTTAATAAAATCTGGCACGAGGCAAACGTGAAAATATGTAAGCGAGAAAGAATTGAGTTGATTGAACTTTTAAGGTTAAGTCAGCAAAACGCGTTCTATGCGGCCTTCTTTCGTTCTTGGAAATTTGGTTAATTCCAAAAGAAGTATTCCAATCTGAAGTATCTCTTAGGGTTCATCTTCCCACTGCGAAATCAGCCGATTCCTTCCACATGCTGCTCGAGTTCGATTTAGGCTCTCTCGGTGAAAATGACCGTCTGTTAAGTGCCAACGAGGTTCCCGTGTTGAATGACCAGTCTAGATAATAGAAATGGTTTGGGACCATTCACAAGTGGTGATTGATTTGAAAGGATATAGATTTTGGAGAGTGGGGCAATAAATGCTATGAAGGGAAGGATGAAAAGAGATAGAGTTGGGTGAAGGAACAGATAGAGAAAAACTTATGTGGGGAGAATAGGCGATAAAGAAAATTGTAAAATAAAAATAGGATATATTTAAAAAAAAAAAACTATATATTTTTAATAAATAAACAAATTTTAGATCCATGTGAGAGAATTCTCCGATTTAAGGAGATAAAAAGAGAGAATTCAAAATAATAAATTAAAAAAAAAAAAAAATAAAAAAAAAGAACTATTGGGACAGGAGCGATATAAGAAGACAATGGAAAGAAAGAATACAAAATAAAAGAAAAAATGAAAAAATTACAGTAGGCGAGGCAAAAAAGGTCAAACTGAAGATATATATATATATATATATATATATATATATATATATATATATATATATAGTGGAGGAAAATATTCATACACATACAAATTTTTAATTTCCAACTAATAAATAAACATATTTTTCATATAATTAACTGTACACAGATGCATAATAACTAAATATATATAGAAAACAGAAAAAAAAACAAAAGATTTAATAGAAACTAATCCCATTTATCCATTTTGATGGATGAAAAAAGTATTCGTACAGTACATAAAATAATAAATAATCTTCATTTAATACTTTATAGATAGCCATTATTCACTTCTACAGCAGCCAACATCTTCTTGTAGTTCTCGATTAATGATTTGCAAATTTTAGTTGGTATTTTTTGTTCCTTCTTCTTCGCATATGGTCTTCAGATCCCAAATAAATCGTTAAATTTGCTTCCAAAATATTTTTCATTTGGCATTCATTCCACCATCTATTTTTGGTATGTTGAAATACTTTTTTTTAAAAAAAACCCTAAACCATGATGCTTTTACCGAAAAAACTGTTGTAACTATGTTCTTATGTTTGAAGGCATTCCATCTTTCCTCCATACACAATTTCCAAACAACTCAATTTTGGTTTCGTCTATCCATAATACTCTATGCCAATACAATTTTTCCTTATCCTAATGTTCACGAACGAATTTCAACCTGACATCGCTGCGTTTTATTTTAATATCAGTTGAGTTTTCCGAAGGGAGCATTATTCTAGATTCTGCCTATGAATTTCATTGCTTATTGCTCGTTTAGTGACACAGATTCCTGATGAAAACGAATCATACTGCTTGATGAGTGACCATTAGATTTGACTCAATAATTTCCACAAAGATCTTGCGAAAATCTTCCGTGGAGCACCTATTCTTCTTCGTTTTCAACCGTTTTCCTCAATTTTATCAATTACAGAATGTTCTGCTTATATTTTTAGGCTAAAAATAACTACTGATAAAATTATTGAAATATTCTAGAATATTCCACTTGAATAATCTAGAATATTAAAGCAATTTAAAAGATTTAAAATCTGAAATTTGCATTGTATGAATACTTTTTTCACCCATTAAAATGGATAAACGGGATTTAAATCAATTTTGTTCTATTTTCTATGCATATTTAGTTATTATGCATTTGGGTTCAGTTAATTAAATGAAAAGTATGTTTATTCATTAGGTGGAAATACAATAAATTAAAAACGTTGTATGTACATTACTAACATTATTCAGACTATTGTCCTCATCTTTGTCGCCATATTTATTACAAAGTTTCGGCCGTTGTATGCTCCATCCTTCTTCAGGTGGTTGGAATGTCGAACTGAACCCTTTATTTCGCTCACTGGAATAGACTGTTCTAGTTCCACGTGCATGTTTAATGGATGTCACTTATCAATTATCTCCTGTTAATTTCCCTCTGAAAGTTCTCCACTGCCTTAACCTGGTATTGAACTCAGACTCTTTGGGTCCTGTCACTGGATCTAACTAACGCCACTGTGCCATGTGTTCTTGCATCTGTGTATGGATTTCTGGGTATTACAAACCTAATGTCTTCAGCAAGCATTTTTTTACCAGTGCTCATATTGCAATTTTTGCTGTTATCATTGCATCTTTTTTAGCAGAGGTCATATTGCAATTTTTGTTGTTATTATCGCTTTTGTCTGGCACTCCTTATTACTGGTTCCCATATTGTATTCATTTCTATGCTTGGTCGGCTCAGGAGATTTTTGTGGCTTAGCATATGGGCTGATTCCTTAAGTTTACGAATTTTCCAATGGTTTTCTTTGTCTATGATCTCAACCTGATCCCACAGAGGGCGGTGATTTCCCTTCTCTCTCCATATGTGGTCAGCCACGCCTGATTTTTCCATTTCCCTCGTGTTACAGCTTTCTGGTGTTCTTGAAGCCTTACCTTGCCGAAATAATAAATATGGCGACAATAATAATGTAAATAATGTACATAATACCTCATCTCAGAAATATAGACAGATACAATTGTTTGTTCCCCCCAACAACTATATCTATCTATATCTATCTATATATATATATATATATATATATATATATATAGATAGATAGATAGATAGATAGATAAGAGAGAGAGAGAGAGAATGATAGAGGAAAGATAGAAGAATGAAAAGCAAAATAATAAGCCGAGAATATCTGATAGACAAAAATGGGAACATGAAACAAAAGCGAAAATAAAAAAATGATGGTTCAAAAGCAACAATATATAAAAGTAAAAGTCCCTAATAAAAGAAAGTAAGCCGGATTGTAATGTTTTTTTTTAAGCGTTTCGCCCCAAGCAAGGCGAGAAGCTACTAGGACGCAAGGGGTTACAGAAGATTTGGAGCAAGATCAGATAGGAGTGATAGAAGAAAGAATGAGGAGAAGGATAGTGGATAGATCAAGGCAACTGGAGATGTCGATTGACATTACATTTGAATAGTTAGAGATTATAGCTCTCAGTGAAACTGGAATAGGGAAGGGAGTTCCACAGGCGAGAGGTGCGAGACATGAAGCTATTGGAGTAGAAGAGACGGCTACATTTAGGAGTTTCGACAGTGAAAGGGTGAGAGCGGGATGGAAGCCTCGTAGGGCGCTTGAACTCATGAAGTCTGGGAACCAGCGAATCCAGCTCCTCGGAGCAATTGCCATGAAAGTATTTGTAAAAAAAGACAGAGAGAGGCGATGGCGCATCTGTGAGAGAGCGACTGTAGACGAGATGCCAGAACAGGGCCAATTATATTGCATATCCGCCTCTGGAGGTTATCAAGAACCCCGAGGCAAATAGATGGGGTTCCAGACCATAAAGAAATGAAAGAAGAGAAATTTGGCACTAAAGAACCAATGTCGAATAATCACAATACTCCGTTATAGAAATTCAGACCGAAAGAAGGCCGAAGCATGTAGGAGGCGAAACAATAACATTCTTAAATTGTCCCGAAAGAATAGATGTATTAACACGGTTAAATAGTTGACTAGACATTGATGGAAGTGAATGAGATTTTTAAAGAAGAGAAGCAAAAATAATAGAGGTAGTCAGATAATGAGAGAGGGAGGGAGGAGAGAGAGAGAGAGAGAGAGGGGGGGCAGATAGAGAGGGGTCGAAATATATGAACTTCAAGAGAGAGGTTGAAATAGAGAGCGATTAAGAAAGAGAGTTAGAGAGAGAGAGGGAGTAACAATGGGAGAAAGAGAGAGGGAGAGAGAGAGGGATGAAGAAAAATAGAGAGCGAAGAAATAAAATGAGAAAGAGTAAGTGACAAAAGGAAAGAAGAAATGAACTTAAGAACAATTCCACACTTGGCTTCTTTTTCTACTTTTTGTTAGCGGGTTGCCGTTTTCTCTATATATTTTTCACACACACACATACACACATAACACAAGGTCTCGGTTAACGCACAATAAACTCGTCCTTGTGCCACATCCGACCACGTGGGGCGGTTAGTGAATATATTTCTATCTCTCTCTCTCTCTCTCTCTCTCACACACACTATCTCTCTCTTCGACACCTCTCTCCCTTTCTCTCTTTTTCGCTTTAACCTCTCTTTCTTTCTTTCTTTCTTTCTTTATTTATTTTCTCCATCTCTTACGTTTTCTCATCTCTTTTTCCCTTTCTCGTAATATCTTCCTCTATGCCTTTTTTTCCCTTGACGGTTGCCATTTG